GCAACAGTTGCCGAACTACGACGAGTTCTTCGGCAGCGCCAGCTTCGCAGACGATAATGATCGTATGGCGTACGCTGCTTACGACTCGTTCACCGTCACCGGTACCATCACCACCAAGACAGAAGGTCGAACAACGTTCATCACGGCTCTGCAGGAATGACTCGTTCTTGCGTGTTCATCCACTTGCGCTGCCGTCCGCTGCACGTCGTCCAACTTCGCTATGGCTTGCACCTGTCCCCTCCCTTCACTTCCATCTAGCCGCCCCTGGATGGCGTTAAATGCCAGCGTTGAGCGGCTGTCTAGCCGCGCAACGACACGCTTGCAGGGCTGGGTGCATTCCGTGCACTTGTGGGTTCGACTCCCACACAAGTTGGCGGCGTCCCTCGCATCTACACTGGTGAGTGTATGAACGGTATGACCGGTTTCGCTGGTATAAGTTAGGGTGTTGACGCACGAATGCTGTACCGGTTTGACATTCGTGCGTGTCTCATTCGTATCCACCTCTTGCCGCTTCCCCGCTCTCCCTGAAGCATGCTCTGTTGTGCGTGTCCCACTCGCGTATATGATGGTTGGACATAACGAATTGCCCCGATTACCGGGCTTGTCTTCACCCGACCTTTGCGCTGTCGTGCAGGTTTGCATGTGTTGAAGCTGCTGCTCCGGCAAGCATTCGTGCTGTTCTCTTCGCTGTCCTCCGTTAGGCGCGGTAAGTGTGCATTATGACGCAACGCACATATGTGCGTGTCGGCACGTTAGTGCTTGTCCGTCGCACGAGAACGTGCCAGCAAGTGTACGACATACGTTGTTTTGCATGACCTCGTTTTGTGTCGGTTTTCGTTTTTATTTACGTACATCCTTTACTACGACATAGCGACTCGCCGTTGTGACGGTGTCCACGCATACGTGTGCACGATGTCCGCGGAATCACGTCATGTTAACATGTGTACGACAACTTTGGTGTCGTTTCTTTTTATGCACGCGCAAACTATTTTATGTCAGTTCTCCTTGTACATGTTTTGTGTAGAACTGTTTATTTTAGATGTATGTATATTGCGTGTCAAAGCAAGTGCTTAACGGCCGCGATAATTAGTCTGTATTACCGGTGTTCATCTTGCTGCTTATTATTTCTCTTGCTTTTTCGACATAGCGAGTTTTCGCGATATCCGGCCCTGCTTCTGCACAACCGTCACGCATCGTCGCTGCGATGCGTTGCATATTTGCGTGTATCGTGGTTCCTGGTGCCGAGCATTTCCATGCCGCGCTTTTCCTGCGAGGTCTCCATCGCGCGCGCTAAGTGTGCGATGAGTTGGCGTCCGTATGTGTCGGCGCATCAGATGAGGTGCGATGCGATGCACTGCCCGCACAGTCTTGTGTCTGGATTATAAATACACGCCCTCCTGTCACTCCGTGTTATATGATTGCACCCACGCTATTCCGTCTGACCGTCTGACTGTCTGTCATTCCTTCCGGATTGCCACTGCCGTCTGTCTGCAGTCTCCTGTGCTGACACATACGGGGTCCCATCCGTCGCTCTTGCCGCTCGTCCGTCCGTTCGAAATGCCTATTGCCTGAAGCGGCTCTGGCGTGTATAGCAGGTACATATGTGATCGTGTTAGCGTGCCTCCATGCCTCTCCGACACCCTTCGGCACCTCTTCGCCGCCGGTCTCTATTTCCGCACGGCGGTCGTGTATCCGGTGTTGGCAGTTGTGATGCTCCACGTACGCTGCTATGGTGCCATGTATACCTATTCCCGTACCGCTGCCTTTGCCGTCTCCGGCCGTTTATGTGTTGCATATATCCCGTTCCTTTCGAACATGTTGTCGCCGCTGTCCACCCATCGCAGGTCCTGCGATGTATACTCTGCTTGGTCGACAACGAGGACCCTAATAACACACGGACCCGACGTACGAGCACCACTGGATCCACATTTCGGCCGCCACGGCTACGCGTCACCACAACGGATGTCGTGCCAGTACACCGTCCTGCTGCCTATACGGCGGTGCTGGCTGCTGCCGACCGAGCGACCGTGCAGGCACCACGGCTTCTGCCATTCACCATGCACTCGACAGGTATGTTCCCGGTTCCAACCTCCGCCCCGTCTCGGTCCTCCTTCGCCCACGTTATCGTGACCGTACTAGTACCCGCCCCCCTGTCACTCCGTGTTGACTGTATGATTGCACCTGCGCTATTCCGTCTGACCATCTGACCGTCTGTCATCCCTTCCGGATTGCCGTTGCCGTGTGTCTGCAGTCCCCTGCACTAACACGCGTTTGCAGCCGTTTATATATTGTATATATCCCGTTCCTTTCTAACATGTTGTCACCGCTGTCCACCCGTGGCAGGTCATGCGGTATGGGCTCTGCTTAGTCGGCAACGAGGGCCCTATTAACACACCGACGCGACGTACGAGCACCGCAGCAACACGTCGCCACGACGGATATCGTGCCAGTACACCGTCCTGTCGCCTACGCGGCGGTGCTGGCTGCTGCCGACCGAGCGACCGTGCAGGCACCACGGCTTCTGCCATTCACCATGCACTCGACAGGTATGTTCCCGGTTCCAACCTCCGCCCCGTCTCGGTCCTCCTTCGCCCACGTTATCGTGACCGTACTAGTACCCGCCCCCCTGTCACTCCGTGTTGACTGTATGATTGCACCTGCGCTATTCCGTCTGACCATCTGACCGTCTGTCATCCCTTCCGGATTGCCGTTGCCGTGTGTCTGCAGTCCCCTGCACTAACACGCGTTTCCAGCCGTTTGTATATTGTATATATCCCGTTCCTTTCTAACATGTTGTCACTGCTGTCCACCCGTGGCAGGTCATGCGGTATGGGCTCCACTTAGTCGACAGCGAGGGCCCTATTAACACACGGACGCGACGTACGAACGCCGCAGCAACACGTCACCACGACGGATATCGTGCCAGTACACCGTCCTGTCGCCTACGCGGCGGTGCTGGCTGCTGCCGACCGAGCGACCGTGCAGGCACCACGGCTTCTGCCATTCACCATGCACTCGACAGGTATGTTCCCGGTTCCGACCTCCGCCCCGTCTCGGTCCTCCTTCGCCCACGTTATCGTGACCG